TCATCTGGGCATCCAACAGCCCTTGGCTAGTGGTCTCTAGCTTGGGATCAGGGAAGGAGGAAGGGAGCATCCAAGGGAGCCAGAATGGCTTGGGATTGAGATTAGAGCACCAGTAGCTGTCTCCTTGTGTTTTGGAGCTGAGTGCCTGCAGAGACAGACATTACAGGTGGATTACGGGAGAGCATGGACCTCGGATCTCAGACACCCCATGGCATGCCCCCCTCACCCTGGGACACACCTCTTCTGCCTGGGACAGCACCCACACGGAAGGGTGCACTGGCATGGAGACTGGAAAGCTGAGTCATATTACTGCTGCGCACCCTAATTCTCACCCCGACACGCACTCCTTTCTCAAGTGTGAAGAATAAGTCTCCTTTCTGGTCACTCAGAACCTCACAGAAAGCCAACGTCCCTGTAGAACAGTGTCCAGGACAGAATGACCCAGAATGAAGCACCAGTCAGCATTTTCCTATCTCTGAGTTCCATTCCCTTTTGATATCGCTGTCCGAGGCCACCAGGCTGGCCTTGCTTCTGAGACAGTGTCCCTTGTCAGTGTCCCTAGTCAGTGAGCTCCAGGAGCTTGTCTAGCTGTTGTCACGGGGTGGAGTGGGGACACACGTGGCCACCTGTTCCCATCCGGAGAACCCACAGTAGACTTGCTTCCCCAGAGACCACCTTCCCACCCGTCAGCATGGGGCCTTTTACAGCCGGACCTTCTGCTACTGCTAATTTTAAAATAATGGTGAGACAGCCAGGCTACGTTTTTCTGTTCTGGTTTCTTAGCAATGGCACGTGCTGAGTTGCTGACTTCCAACTCACTTATAAGGTGTGATTGTAAAATAATGAAGTTGATTATTTAAACAAATGTCTCAGAATACATTCACTGGGTGGGGGGGAAGGAGTTGATTAGTTGTTTAAGTTAACAAGAGGGAAAAAAGGCTTGAACTGTGCCTACTTTCAGAACATGAAGTATCAAAAAATCATTTTAGTTTCAATGCAACTTCACTAAGATTGAGATAAATGGAGTTTTTAATTTGTTATCATGCATGTGTACCTTTAAGATAAGTAACTAAGCCATTAATGTTCATATTAACCAATCTTACAATATACAGTTTACTTTCAAAGTCCCAGAAGGACCCGCGTGGTTCAAATTTATTTCCATAGTTGAGTACCTGAGAGAGATCACCTGGAACCAGGCTCCATATCCTCTGACATTAGGACCATAGGGTGGCAAAGTTCCTTCCCAGAGGGCACAGGGAGGAGACACTGAGAGGCAGGATCTGTAAGTTTCAATGTCCATGAGATCACTCACCCCTTGGGGAGCAACATGGACCCCACAAGCCTGAAGCGAGCCCCACAAAGCCCTTGAGGTAACATCTCCCGGCCTTGGCCACCCAAGATTTGAGTTAACACACATAGGCCAGTGAGCCCATGGCTCAGGCCTATAATCCTAGCTACTCAGGAAGCTGAGATCTGAGGAGGGCAGTTCAAAGCCAGGCTGGGCAGCAAGGTCCTTGAGACTCTTTTCTCCAATCAATCACTCAAAAGCCTGAAGTGGAGCTGTGGCTCAAGTGCTAGAGGGCTAGCCTTGAGCACAAATGATCAGGGACAGTTCCTTGAGTTCAAGTCCCCTGAATTCAAGGCTCAGGACTGGCACACACATGCACCCCCACACACACACACAAAAAAAAGACTAGGCCTCAAGAGGAAGATGAGTTCCAGGGACAGAAACAAGACAGCCCAGCCAACTGTGCCCGAAAGACATCTCTCCAGTCAGTACAAACCATCAACCACCAAGGCCTTGAGGATGGATTTCTTGGTGGCCAAGTGGGTACTGGATAACAGGTGCTAGATTAAGAACAGCCCTTCCCCTTTTCGGAAGACAGACAAGAAAATGGTAGGATGTAGCAAGCCCATCACCAGGCAGAAGCTCATGGGGCTGGAGCAGAGCACAAACAGAAGGTAAGTCTGGATAGGAGAGTCCCGTGCCAAGCTGACATGGAGGCAAACTGTCCTGCAGACAAGAAAGGGCCTCCAGTCACATAGAGATGGGCAGGCTCTAGTCTGTCTGTTCACACAACACAGGCTACAGGGCCGCCCTGGAGATGCGGCCATTGCTCAGGTGATATGCTCAGCTAGGGCCATCCCAACTGTCTGCCTCCCAATACCAGGCCAGAAGGCACTAAACTAACTCAGGGCAAGGATCAGTTTCTATGCATGGACCTGAGCCAACATCAGGTGGACGTGAATGCTTACAGGCTATCCAAACCCTCAAGAAGTACAGAAAAAAGAGCCTCTTCCTCACTGGCCACATCCCAAGCCTGTCCGCAGAGGAAGACACAGCCCCTAGCTGTGGGCTCCTTCTGTCCCCATAGACAAATGTGTGGGTCCTCTTGATGCTAAGGGCTTTTATTGCTCATTGCTACTAACACTCAGACCTGAGCAATTAATCTGTTTCCATGGGATCCCCTGTGCCTTGTGCTGGGGGACAGGGGCATGGACACAGTCCCTGGCACCCGAGAGGCACACGGGTGGATGCCGTGGTCCAGGGAAGGAAGTGCACCGCAGCCAGAGCAGCTCCCACCAGAGGATACGGTGTACCCAACACTTCCTCCAGTCATCTGAGCCCCAGAGACCTGCAGGTCAGCAGGAATTCTCCATAGGGCGCTCCAGAACACCTACATAGGACAGGAAGGTCTAGGAATTCCAGAAGCACCCCAAGTTCTAGTCACTGCCACTGTGCCAGTGTACCAAAGGCCCTGCTTAGTTCCTGGAGCTTTGGGTGCAGAGGTAGAGGTTGGGGTGGGGGCAGCAGGCCCTACCCCTTTGCTTCCAGGCCCCAACTCCTGGCTGGATGCCAGCCTGGGGATCCAGACTCTCCCCACTATAGCCACGTGGATCTCTTTCCTGGCCTAGCACAGCATCCTCCAGCTCATCTCCTGCCTCCCACCTGTGGCTCTCTGTTTAGGAGAACCCTCAGCTCTGTGGATCCCCTACAGTGCAGGTGCCCAGCCTACAGGAGGGGAGAGACCATGACCTCCCTCACCCCATCAAGGTCTGTGACTCCAGGAACTGGGGTAGAATGAGGGAGGATGAGGCATTTGCCTAAGTGTTCAGCAGAGTAGGGATAAGGCAGAGAACGCAGGAGTCAGACAAGCCTGCCACCTGCTCTCCGTGCAGTTACTGCCCTGACATCCCGAAGTTGACTCTCCTCCACCAACTTGGAGAAGGGGTGGTGTCAATGTGCTCTTCCAATAGAGACAGGCTGTCATGTGGCAGGAACTGAGGAAATGGAGCCGCTGTGGCTGCTGTCCACTATCCACCCTGAGGGGACCTGGCAGGGGCCTGGCACAGGTGCAGACAGGTGGCCCCTGGGATGGCGGAGCACTTCAACAGAGGACATGTTACCAGGTCCCCTGGCCTGGCCAGGTCCCATCCCAGGCCCAGATGCTGTACACACACACACACACACACACCAGCCCCATCCCAGGCCCAGACGCTGTACACACACACACACACACACACACACCAGCCCCATCCCAGGCCCAGACGCTGTACACACACACACACACACACACACCAGCCCCATCCCAGGCCCAGACGCTGTACACACACACACACACACACACACACCAGCCCCATCCCAGGCCCAGACGCTGTACACACACACACACACACACACACACACACACCAGCCCCATCCCAGGCCCAGACGCTGTACACACACACACACACACACACACACACACCAGCCCCATACCAGGCCCAGACGCTGTACACACACACACACACCAGCCCCATCCCAGGCCCAGATGCTGTACACACACACACACACACACTCACACACACACACCAGCCCCATCCCAGGCCCAGATGCTGTACACACACACACACACACACACACATACCAGCCCCATCCCAGGCCCAGACGCTGTACACACACACACACACACCAGCCCCATCCCAGGCCCAGATGCTGTACACACACACACACACACACATACACACACACCAGCCCCATCCCAGGCCCAGACGCTGTACACACACACACACACACACTCACACACACACCAGCCCCATCCCAGGCCCAGATGCTGTACACACACACACACACTCACACATACACGCCAGCCCCATCCCAGGCCCAGACGCTGTACACACACACACACACACACACACACACACCAGCCCCATCCCAGGCCCAGACGCTGTACACACACACACACACACACACACCAGCCCCATCCCAGGCCCAGATGCTGTACACACACACACACACACACACACACACCAGCCCCATCCCAGGCCCAGACGCTGTACACACACACACACACACACACACACACACACCAGCCCCATCCCAGGCCCAGACGCTGTACACACACACACACACACACACACACCAGCCCGCCCCATCCCAGGCCCAGATGCTGTACACACACACACACACACACACACACACAGGAACATGGAGGACTTGACACTGTCCTCAAGACACTACTGATTCTCCAATGTGGTAATGGCCCGCTTGGAAACTTGCACCTTCTTTGTGAAGTCATGGGTGGCGGGTGGTGAGGACGGGGCCAGCTCCACCACACTGGGGTGTGCTCCGGTCAGGGCCAGGGCTGGGCACAGCCGGTGTGCCCAGAGTGAGGTCGTGTGAGGGCCAATTATACAGGGTCAAGATAAAGCCAAACTGGGGGGCAGAGGGGGCGGCGCAAGGAGGGTAGACTCCGGCCAAACGGCAACGACGTGGGGCTGGGACCACGAGACAAGTGGAATCAGCCAGACCCTCAAAAGCAACGTCGCCCCAAGGGACCAGCCCCAGAGCAGGATGGAAGAAGAGGGAGACTGTCCCATGAGGGTCACCCCAACTCCAGGGTCAGCAGGGAAGCTGACCTTGGCCCCCCGCACACACATGGCCCACACCCAGATGCTGCCAGAACAGGAACTCAGGACGCAGCAGGGAGGGCCACACCCTCCCCACCACTGGAGACTCCTCAGGGTAATTATTTATTATTCATAGTCATCGGCATCTTCATTAATTACTCATATGATCCTTAATTATTATCCCTAACAGTAAGAGCAGTAAATAGCAGAAAAGTCCTTGAGGTGCCTAAGACCCAGGGCCAGTGCCTCCGGGCAGTTAGACCAGCTAATGCCCCCAGGGCAGTGGGGGAACCATAGACCCCCCTCCACTGCCTGGCCCTGGCCCTGCCCCTCCCTATGGGGCCCAGGGGAACTGCAGGAGAAGACCACCCCTAGGCAGGGGAGGAGCTGTCCATCACCATGCTCCCTTCTACCACGGCCAGGGCCTCCTGGGCAGGGCCTCCGGGGGGAGCGGCCCAGGGCGCTTCCTGGGCCCTGGGTGAGCCACGTGTCCACACTGAGCAGTGCCACTAACTGCCGGGGTCTGAGCCATGTCTGTGCAGGGGCTGGGAGGTGAGGGCCCCCAGCTGGCCCGGCAGGGAGAGGCGTCGAGTGGGGCCATCTTGGGGGAGCTCTGGGGCTCCTGGGGGCAGCTCCTCAAACGCCATGAACTGGGAAACCTGCAGGGAACACAGAACGTAAGGGGCAGGGAGGCCTCAGCACCAGAGGAAAGGGACAGAGAGGTTACGAGGTTAAGGATCCAGGCAATCGGGAACAGGACTGGAAGCCAGGAAGGAGTAGAATGAATGGGGTGGGATTGGAGAGGGCAGGGACGCAGTAGGAAGAGCAGGGCAAGGACCATGGGAGGAGATGGGCCCTGAGGTCGGAAGTGGAGAAACGCGCTCCCAGAGAAGCTGGGAGCCACAGCAGAGCTGCCTGTCCTGGGGCCGGGGAAGCGTCTATGCCATGGCCTCCTCCTCCTCCAGGGAATGCGGCAGCTGGATCTAGACCCAGTCTAGAACAAGGAGTCCAGCGTGGGCAAAAGCTGGGACAGAAACAGAAGATCTTTCCTGCTATTCTAGAAAGAACTCTGGGGACTCAGAAACAGAGGCAGGCTGGTGGCCAGGCGTCTGAAGGCCAGGGAGAGCGGCGGGGCAGGCAGGAGGGGCCTGTGGGTGCTGCCGCGCCTGCTGGCGAGGTCCCTGCGGGGGAGGCTGGGAGGGAGACTGGCACGTTTGCTGACGTGGGCACCGATGTCTGCAAACAGGAGCAGGCAGCATATGGGAGGAGAAGCAGTGCCAGGGGTGCGGGAGCAGATCCCAGGCCACCTCTGGGAGCCACTCCTGAGGGACTGGTACGAGAAGCTGTCTTTCAGGGCTAGGGACACACATGACCCCTCAGGAAGGACAGAGGGCAGTGGAGGCCTCCTCCAGCAGGAAGGGACAAATGCAGGCCCAGGAAGTCCTGCCCCAGGGGCTTGCTTGATCACCCTGGAAATGCCAGCTGCCTTCATGATGGCACAGAAGTACAGCTAGAGTGAGAGCCAAGATGGGCAGATAGCCAGCAGGAGGCGCGTCACCACAACAACCTGGGACCCTGTACCAAGATCCAGTGACATGCAGCACCCAGCCGCCAGTGACGAGCTCAGACACCCCGTCATGTCTAGAGGGGGGCCGGGGGGATGGTGCAGAGCACACAGGATGGGCGCAGGGCCCTGCAGGAAGGGAAGTCAAGCAGATGTGTAACAGGACCGGTGCAGCTGGGGTGCTGGGGGAGAGGGTTTCTGGAATGTACCTGAGAAAGCGAGTCCAGGGTGAGGGTGGGGATGGCGCCGACGACGGGCAGCAGAGGGGAGGTGGGGGCGGGGCCTGGCCCGGGCGTGGCCACAGCACTGTAGGCAGGAGGGACGAGTGTCATTTGCCTCTGTAGCAGCTGCAGGACAGTGGCCATGTCTGCACTCAGCCGGGTTTCCAGCCTGGGACAGAAAGGAAGAAGACCAAAGCTGTGGTGTCTACGCGGGGAGGAGAAGACACAAGCAAACGGAGGCGCCTTGAATGTGAGAGAGGCGCTGGCCCGTGCCCGGCGCCCGCGCACGCTGGGTGTGCCAGTCCGGCCTCAGCCGGGCAGGGAAGGGGGCCAGCGTCCTGGCACAGGCAGCTGGCTCAAGAGCAGATCCTTCCCTCAACCCTGCAACACCACCAGGAGCCCACCGGGCAGACCCCATCCTCCTTCCATTTGGGGGCCCCTCCCGCCTCCCTGGAACCCCTCCAGTACCTGTTGAGCTGCCGCTGGAGTGCGTCCAGCCTACTCTCCACATCTCCCCGTGGCCGCCGGCCGGGACTGGACAGAGGGATGTTAAGGAGGCTAGGGGCAGGGGCGGGACAGCGAGGCAGCTCCTGGTACTGGCGGCCCCGACTGTCCCCCCAAAAGCTGAAAATGTTGGACACCCCAGAGAAAGCTCCTGGAACCAGAGGAAAGGAATGAGATCCAAAAGGCCAAGACCCCTTTGCCCCTGCCCCTCCTGCCCCCCCTCCTGCCCCCGGCAGCCCCCGGCCCCACTGCCCCACTACCTGACAGGGGGTTGCAGGTATGGCTGCTCTCGTCACAGTCCTCAGTCAAGGGCTCCCCGCCGGGCGGCTCTGCGGGGGGCCTGGGGCTGGAGAAGGGCACCAGGCGAAGGGGGCTGGAGCTGTGGCCTGGGCCTTCATCCTCACTGCTCTCAGGGCTGGAGGGGCCACTGGACGGGCCCTCCCCCCACGGTCCCCCTGGCCGGCCCCGGCCACTGGGCCCTGCCCCCGCCCGGCCCGATCCCAAGGCCGACACCTCCCCAGGCTGCTCCGTGTCTGTGGGAGACAGAGAACCGGCCTCAGAGAGGGGAGGGCAGCACGGGGGGGGGGGGGGGGGGGGGGGGGGGAAGGGAAGGGACAAGAGGAGCTGAGCTAGGCCTGGGAAAGGTGGCAGGATTTGTCCCCAGTTGTCTATTCTGTAATCTTCCCCCCATTTTTCAACTTCATGGTCAGCTCTCCAAGAAGCAGAGCTGGGGGGGCTTCCTGAGACCCCCGTGGCCAGCCCCTCAACCTCCTGAGTCCAGTGTCCTCCCCCGCCACATCACCACCACCACGTACCCCTCTCTCATCAGATCAAGACAGGACTCGCCAATCCCCAGGTCCTGGGAAGACCAAAATGCCCAGCCCCTCTCTAGGGGTGTGGGAGGGGCTTCCCAGAGGTGACAGCTCAAAGGGCTGGTAAAGATGGCTGGGTATGGACAAAGGGGGAAAGAAGTCCTGAAGGAGCAGACTGCCCATCCAACCCACGGGCCCTGGCTCCTCCCACCAGTCCTTCACCCTCCCACACAGCCCAGGGGTCCCTGGCTCCCCTCCCCGCCTCCCCCTGACCATCTCACCCTTGTCTGCGCGCCGGCGGAAGGACAACTTGCGCTTGCGCTGCCGGTTGAAGCCACCCTCCAACTCCGCGCTGCCAGGGGAACCGGGGATCATGTTCGTCTGGAACCAAAAACTGTGTCAAGGAGCCTCAACCCCCCCGTTAATAAAGAAGAGCCAGAAGCTGTGGCTTCCAGATAGCTCATGCCTGTAATCCTAGCTACTCAGGTGATCGAGCAAGGATCATGGTTCAAAGCCAGCACAGGCAGAAAAGTCTGTGAGACATATCTCTAACCAGCTAAAAGCCCAAAGTGGAGCTGTGGCTCAAGTGGTAGAGCATTAGCCTTTAGAGGAAAACACTAAAGGATAGCACTCAGCCCCTAAATTCAAGCCCCAGCACAAGTACAAAGAGAGAGAGAAAGAGAAAGACACAGACGGAGACAGAGACAACAAGAGAATATGGTAGGGGGAAAATACACACACACACACACACACACACACACACACACAGCGCCCTCTTGATCTCTGCCTCTTAAGAGTTGCAGTGACTTTCATAGCCCAGCGTGTGATAGCACTTGACAGGGAAACAGAGGCAGAGAAGCAGCACATTCAAGGTTAGTTACACAGTGAAGAGGCAGCCTTCTGCCTCAGATAAAAGAGTAAGAAGCCAGCTCACAATGGCCCACTCACATCTCGAAGATTGAAAGTGATCTCCAGGCTGGACCAGAAGTGGTCGGAAAACTCAGGGTACATGTCCAGCACTTCCAGCAGGTCGTCACGGTGGATCTTGTGGAGGTCACAGTAGGTGAGGGCCCTCACATCCCCATTGGACTTGCCAGGCCGAGCATACAGGTTCAGAGGCTCTCCAAAGATGTCATTCTTCCCTGGAGAACAAGAGGGAGACGGAGATCTCAGTCCATGGAGTCAGCTCAGAAGGCAGCAGGCAACATGCTTTGGGGTACACAGCCAGAAAAGCATCTACAAGCCATCCTTCCTCAGTGCTCAGAAGTTGGGGACCAAGCAGCTAGAAGTGCCTGAAGGAGAAGAGGCCAGGAATTTGGGGTCCCCTAACAACTAGAATGCAGGACCACACAGGATGCCCCAGCTCTGTCTATGGTCCTGACTTCCTCAGGCTGTGACCCCAACTTTTATCCCCAAACCCTGTACCCTAAACATCCTCCTAGCCAACTGTTGTGTCCTCATAAGCAACTTCCTTCAAACTAGAGATGAGAACAAGAGTGAATCAAGACCAGAATTCTTTTTACTGAAAAAAAACAAAATAGCAGGCTTAACATGTCATAAAACAGACCAGACTGGGAGGAGGTAACAATGCTCGATAGGAAATGCACTCATCACCTTACTCATGTAACTATAACCCTTCTGTATGCTATTTTTACAATAAAAAAGTATTTTTAAAAAAAAACAAACCAAACTGTACTAAAATGTATGAAACTTGATTTAGTTGGGAGCTTGGGGAGTCATGGGGTGGTATAAATATAAAAATCTAAGATGTTCCCCATGAGCCATGGTCAAGCAAGTCTGCTGTATTTGCCTCAAAGTCATGCAGGCCCAAGGAGATGACAAGAAAGGCCAACACGTCTCCAGTGTCCTGGATACCTATACACCTGCACAGGTGGAAAAGCAAGGAGGGGAGGGAGGGTGCAGAATTCACTCTGCTCTGGACAGGCATGTATCTACTGCACTATGCCCCAGGGGACCACATGGCCTTAGAAAAATCTGATACACAGCCTCTGAGAGGACAGCTGCCCTTCTACTGCCCCCCTCAGAACTCCTAGACTGGATTAATTTCTTTTATTGCCAGTTCTGGGACTTGAACTCAGGGCCTTGGCACTGTCCTTGAGCTTCTTTTGCTTATGGCTAGCCCTCTACCACTTGAGCCACAGTGCCACTTCCGGCTCTGTCTGTTTCTGTGGTACTGAAGAATTGAACCCAGGGCTGCATGCATGCTAGGCAAGCACTCTACCACTGAGCCACATTCCCAGCCCCTGGATCCAACTTTAAGGAAGCAAGAAGAATCTGCCTTTGGAGAGATCCTAAGGTTTCCTAAAGTTCAAGGAAATCTGGGAACTCCCAGAACTCAACAGTCTCATACCAAGGGGCTCCTCTCTGATGCTTCCTTTCGGAGGGCCTAAGGTTAGGTGAATTAAAGTTGCCCAAGAACCCAGTTGGCCATCTCAGGTCTGTGGCCTTAGTGATTGTGTATTGAGGGCTCAGGCCTCTCTAGGCTGCGGTGGGTATTCCTGTCCAGTGGCCCCACCCCATACCCAAGATGGCCACCACGACGTCGCCACGAAGGATCTCGATGGAGCCCCTGGAGATGAAGTAGAGAGCGGTGAGCAGGTCCCCAGCGTGCACCAGTGTGTCTCCTGGTGGTGCATGTGTGGTCTTGAACTTCATGGCCAGGGCCCGAAGGCAGCCCTTGGTGGCCCCTCGGAAGGGCTTGCAGTGCTGCAGCAGTGAGCGGTTCAGGTGCAGGCAGATGTCCGCCTGCAGGCACTCGGGGAAGCCCTTCAGCACCTGGGGGCAGAAGGGCTGGCTCAAGACACCCGCCCCTGGGATTCCACTCACGCTCCAGCCCACTGCCTGACCTCTCCATTTCCGGGAAACTCCTCCAGGGCTGTGATCCAGGATGCCTCCCTTCCCCCCCGCCCCTCCCCAGTTTTGGGTCAAGCGTCTTGGAAAGGACCTGGGTTCCCACTCCAGCTGCACCACCCCAGGCTGGACACCCTTTGCAGCTGGTCCTCCAAGTTCCTGTGTTCTAGTGCAGAGATCAGTTCAGCTGCTAGTGGCAGCACAGCTTAAAGCTGCTGCCAATGAAGGGCCTGGTACGGGGCCTGCTCAACAGGGAGAGCTTTCTGGTAAGTGAATTTTGTGGGCTTCAGTTTCCTTGCAGGGGGGAGGGGAAGAGGCAAGTGGGGCATTGATGGCTTGCCCTTGTAATCCTAACTACTCAAGAGGCTGAGATCTGAGAGTCACAGTTTGAGGCCAGCCCAGATAATAAACTACTCAGAAAAAGCTCAATGTGGGGCTATGGCTCCAGTGCTAGAGCACTAGCTTTGAGAGAAAAGGCTCAGGGAGTAACACCCAGGCCCTGAGTTCAACCCCAGGACCAACAAGAGACAGACAGACACAGACATAGACAAAGATAGAAACGGAGACTACTACACTTCCCAGGCTCCTTCTTGGCACTGACCCATGGCGAGGGGCCCGGGGGGCGCACGTGCAGACACATACACACACACACACACACACACACACCGGAGCCTCACCGCGTTCATGTCGATGCCGTTGGTGTAGGACCAGGCGTGCTGGAAGTACTCCTCCAGGCGCTGGCGCAGCGGGTTGGGGATCTGGTGGAAACGGATGAACTCCCGCACCCGAAGCATCTGTGTGTGGTAGCGGGCCGTGCCCGAGTAGAGCCGCTGGATGATGGCGGACACGTTGCCGAAGATGCTGGCATACATGAGGGCTGGGGGCGTGGGTGAGTGGGGCCATCAGCATCCGCAGGGACCCCGCCCGCCCATGGGGACCCTCTGCTCAGGCCCCGCACCAGGTCAACGACACTCGCGGTCCGGTCACGTCTCAGTCTGAGAGTGGACATACACATGCTCAAACACACACCAGCCTTCAGTAGTTCCTGCCCTGGGGCCCCAACCCCCAAACCACGCGGCGATGGTGGGCCCGGAGGGACTGCGGGAAGGCCTGGACCGGGCCCCGGGGAGAGCTCTAGCCATCTCCCTCGGCCCCGCCCGGCCCCACCCTGGCCCCGCCCCCAGCTCGGCCCCGGCCCCGCCCCGGCCCCCCGCCCCCAGCCCATCAGGCCCCGCCCCCAGAACGCACTCACAGCCAATGAGCATGACGCAGATGGAGAAGATCTTCTCGGAGTTGGTGTTGGGGGAGACGTTGCCGAAGCCCACGCTGGTGAGGCTGCTGAAGGTGAAGTAGAGCGCCGTGACGTACTTGTCCTTGATGGAGGGGCCGCCCAGGCCGCTGCTGTTGTAAGGCTTGCCGATCTGGTCGCCCAGGTTGTGCAGCCAGCCGATGCGCGAGTCCATGTGCGGCTGCTCCATGTTGCCGATGGCGTACCAGATGCAGGCCAGCCAGTGCGCAATGAGCGCGAAGGTGCACATGAGCAGGAAGAGCACGGCCGCCCCGTACTCCGAGTAGCGGTCCAGCTTCCGCGCCACGCGCACCAGCCGCAGCAGCCTCGCGGTCTTCAGCAGCCCGATCAGCTGGGGGGGGGGGGAGGGAGGGGGCCAGAGATTCGGTGTGAGGCAAATGAGGGAGGGGCTGGAAGGCAGGCGCACCGTCTTCCTCCCAGGCCCTTCCTAACCACGGAAGCACCTCCCACATTATGCCAAGCACAAGCATCTCATTCATCTTGGTGCCAGCTAATAAGACAAATTGGTGGTAATGCCTCCCAAGGGCTCTGAAAGGAGCAGCAGTTAGCCTAAGGTGCTAGGACAGTTCCCAGCAGCTTTTAGGGCACTTTTGTGTCATTAGAAAATGGTGGGAAAAAAGAAAATGGCGGGCCCTCTGGGTGGACAGATTGGAGGAGTCCCCTCTGCTCCCTATAACCCTGTGGGTAGTTTGTTTGGAGAAAAGAACATGTTGATGTATCAGGACACCCACTCCGCCTGTACACACCCCTCTCCTCTCCCCCCCTTCACCCTACCACCTCCCATCAACTTCCCACCCTTTGCCCACACTTTGCATGCCTCTACTGCCTTCCACTCTCACCCCCACACACAAACACATATACACACACCACCTACCTCCTCAGAGCCAGAGCCGAAGATGAGCAAGTCAAAGGGAATGGCGGCAACCATGTCAATGAGAAACCATCCCTTGAAGTAGTGGACGGCAATGCGGCCAGGGTGGCTGACCACCTCCTCATTGGCATTGACATAGGTGGTACGAAAGTTGATGAGGATGTCCACAATGAACATGATGTCCACAATGAGGTCCACCACGGCCAGCGGCTGGCAAGCATAGCCGCAGTCAGGGTCCTGGGAACCCTCTTCGGTCTCTTTCAGCAGGAAGGCAGCTGAGTAGGGCGTGAAGACGGCCGTGTAGATGACCAGAAGCAGGATGAGCCAGTCCCACACAGCCTTGAAGGGGCTGTAGTGCAAGATGGTCCAGCGGTGGATACGAGGCGCCTGCAGCTTGTACTCGGGCAGCACGTCGGCACCCAGCGATAGGACCTGGAAAGATGCAGACAAAGAAAGGACAGGCCATGGGTGGCAGCTGGAACAGCCCTGCTGCGGAAGACAAGGAGAGCATGAAGAGACAGGCCAACATTGCTCCCAGCAAAAGGCCCATCCCTAGCCAAGCAGCCAGAGTTCTGACCACCCCCAAACCTGTGCACTGGAGTTCCCAAAATGACACAGCAGGCTGACCTGGCTGACCCAAAGACAGTTTCAGAGTGTTCCAAGACATTCCCAGAATACTTGAATTCAGGGCATCACGTAGTAAAGCCTGTGACTGTTCCCTAGCCATGTAGATTAGACTCTCACACCATGCAATCTCATTCCCAAAACCATAAGCAGGCGCATGAGGGTGCGCGCGTGCACGCGCGCGCACACACACACACACACACACACACACACACACACAACACCATAGTCTGAATTTAGAAAAATGTTCCAAGGACTACAGCTCCCAGCTGAGGCAACAGGCCCAGGAGCCATGATCCCAACACACAAAATGGTTACTGCAGCTCACTACCAGTCCATCAAGCTATTTGCCCAAGGATGCCAGTCTCCCAGTCTCTGGCACCTAGGTCTCCTTAGAGACAGGAATCAACACACTCCCCTACCCTGCCCCTGCCACAGCTCCTCTCCCCCTGGGCCCCAGGCAGTCTCTCACCCTCTTATGAAAGGACACAGAGGAAAGAGCCCAGCACAGGAGAGCAGGTGTCCGAAGCACACAGAGGGCCGTGCACCCAGGACAGTGCTGGCGCTGCACACATGGCCTGTCACGCTTCCACTCAGACAAGGAGCCACATCCTGCTCCCTCAACAACCAGGCAGAGGAAGGCCTGCCGTCTGCACCAGGACGCAGCAGCCACACCACTCTTTCTCCTAGGCTCAAGTAGACAGAGCTTGGGCCAGGTTTCCCAAACAGAAGCCGCTGTGTGTTCCTCTGTGCCTTCCTCAGCCCCTCTGAACTCTTTCTCACAGACTTCTGACTCAACCCAAACCTCCCATCCTAGACCCTGCCCTTCCCAGCAACCACAAGGCCTCATCCAGGCCCCAGAGTCACTGGGCCTGTTCCCAGAGCACTGGGCCCCCTGGTCCCCCAGTCTCAGGCCTCTGAGCCAGATGAGTCTTAAAGATTTCCATTCCAATTCAAGTAGGAAATCCCCTGGGCCCGCCTGCATAGGTGATGCTGTTTGAAGAGCATCTCCCTAGAGAAAGTAATTAGGATGGGTCACAGTAAGTAAGTAAGATGGGTCACAGTAAGTAAGTAAGATGGGTCACAGTAAGTAAGTAAGATGGGTCACAGGGTTTTGGGCAGCATGGGGGTGATAACAGAGGCTGAAGCCATCCCAGATGGGATAGAGACAAGTGGCCAGGATCTGGGGCTGAGAAGAAGCCTGTGCATAGGCCCCAATTTCTGCCCTGCCTTCTGCACAAGTGGTCTGTTTCTGAAGGCCAACAGCAAATGGGCATGGGGTAGTGGCATCTCAGAGGTCAAGCAGGAATTGAAAGACGGGAGCAGGACCCCACAGACAACGCACAGAAGTCAGCTCCCCTCAGATAAGACTCTTCTCTGTGTCTGAGGGGGGCAGGCTATGGGGGCTACACTGGATACCCCTGACAGCAGTGACCCTGCTCTCCAGTCTGCCCCACAGCCCGTGGACAAATGCACCTCTAATCCCAGGACACAAGGTCTGGACCAGATAACCTCATCTGTCCAAGGGCCAGCCTTGGCCGTGAAACAAACTGCTTACCACATGCCCCGGGAAGACCCTGAGTCTTCACCTGTGCCCATGCCCCAGCAGGGAGCAACTAGAAGCCCAGGCTATAGGGGTGGCGTGGCCGGGGAGAGAGGGCAGGGGAGGGGTAGCTGGGGCAGATTCGTAGCCTCACAGGCCACTTGTGCAGAGAGGTGGGTCAGATAGCCCAGATAGCCCAGGTACCAGACTCAGTAGGCCCTCCTATCTTCCCAGGGGTCTCTAGCTCGAGCCTCCTCAGGCGCCAGCCCTAGAACCCCTGAAAGCAAGCCAAAGCCTCCCTCTCTCCAGCTGCAGGGTCCACACCAGGCGCAGAGTAAGGAGCCCTGCTGCCGCTGTGCCAGGCCTGGCCGCTGGCCGCTAGTTCCTCCATCTCTCTACCTCCTCGCCATCCTCTCTGGGCGCCCATCCGACTCCTAGTGTCTTCCCACCTTCACACTTCAAGCCAGAAGACTGAGAGCCGGGGGCCGCCGGTGAGGAGCTACCCAAAAGAGACCCCAAGACCCTCACCTAGAAGCCCAGAGGAGGGCAGGCAGGAGCTCGGCCAGTGGTGGGCAGGGCTGTGGACCTCTGGCCTCTGGCACATCCTGCTTTCCCAGAAGCTCTCTCCCCACGTGCCTCAGTACCCCAGACTTGGAAAGAGGAGGGGCTGGGGGTCACCTACCTCCTGGGCCACCAGGCTGGAGATGCGCACCGCCCGCCTCAGCCGGCCTTTCTGGGCCCTGGGCCGCAGAGCCCCTGTCCTGCTCTCCTTCCCGGCTGGGGCCGCCACGGGGGACTTGGCTCCCCCCAGCCTGCTTGTCCTGGGGCCCCAGCAGCAGTCCCGGCCCAGGCCACGCGCCCCTGACCCTGGCCAACGGGTGGCCAGGGCTTGCCTCTGGCATGAAGCCAGGGTGCTTTGGGCTGGGCCCCGGAGCTGGGGTCACCTGCACAGTGAATGTGGGCCTGCCTGGCTGGGGAGGCCCATGGTGCCCTGCTGTGGGTCCTGCTGCCAGGGTGCTGTGCTCTGCCCGCCTGCTGCCAGCCCGGCAGCCGCGGTGGGAACCGCAGCTCCTCCGGCCGGGCTGGCCCCTCCTCCCCCCAGGTCCCCACCCCTACCCCCACGCCATCACACTGGACTCTCCCCGGCCCAGCCCTTGCCCGCCCTCTACCCTGAGCCTGGCCAGCGGGGGGGCCCCCTCCCCCGCTCCCCCCTCCCGCAGCCTGCTCCTGGCTCCTGCTGCAGCGGCTCCGCAGCCCGTGCCCCTCCCCCTCCGCCCAGCAGCCTGGCCTGTCACCGCAGATTAATGGTCTCCCCGACACCCCCGCCCCGCAGCCCAGCACTGAGCCAGTCAGAGTCAGACAGAGACACCCAGAGATGGAGAGATGCCCAGGGACCGGCAGGGGCACCACAAACAGACGTACACAAATGTACTCACAGACACACAACACGCAGGCACACAGTGTGGGCCTGGCAGCGGCAGGGCAAACACCAGGGATCAGATGGGAACTAGGAGAGGCAGCAACCAGAGGGAGAGAATGTAGGCAGCCAGATAAGGGCCTGGGATGAGGAGGAACATTCTGGAGTCAAGGCCAAAGGGCTGAGGACCTGGCAGATCCCAGAGAGCCAGGGCTGGTGGGAGCGGGAGCAGGACCAGGATGCTGGCCAAGAGAGGCCCAGGCAGGGCAGCTCCCTCACAACCCCCAGAGCAGCTTCTGTGGAAGCCACGGGGGGGGGGGGGGGGGGGCCAGCCGGGGACAAGGGTCCGCTCCCGTCCCAAGGCCCCTCTTCCAACCCTCCACCGCCAAGGCCAGGCCAGGAAGCAGCAGCTGAGGCAGACTGGGCCTCGGGGGTACTATAGACCAGCCACCTCGCTGTTGCAGGGGACAGAAGACCAGACTCACCCTGAAACAGAGGTATACTGGCCAAATTTGCTGGTCCTGGCCTAGGATTCAGGGATTCCATCCCCCCACATCCTCGTACCCATTACGAACCCCTCCCCACCCCACACAGGAAGGAAACCACCCTCTCTTGCATTATGGGGCCAGTCCCAGGCAACCCCCGCACCTTGGCCTAGAAGAATCCAGATCCTCCCAACTCTGACCTCTGTGGTCCCCATTTGAAGCCTCCTCTTACTGGCTTTCCTGCAGCGCCCTGCACATAGCCCCTCGCCAGAGCCTTCATGTCCCTGAAGATGTCTCCTCCCACCCATCCCAGCCCTCCCCACATCCTTAGCTCCTGCCCTCACCCTGGACCCTCAAATCCATACATCCCATCAACCCATTCTCCATATCTGCCCACCCAAAGGGCCACCATCCGCCTTCCCTCCCTCCTTCCCTCCCTCCCTCAAGTGGTCCTCTCTCCAGGAATTTGAACTGCTCCTTTTCACAGTCTAGATCTAGATCATCCCCACCCCCACCCCCCAGCCTCAACTCTCTTCCCCAAGTGGCCCTCACTAACTGGGCCTCCCCCTACTCCCTGACTGCATTCACTCCCTCCAAGCTCCTTCAAGGTAAAAGGAGGGCAGGCAGCTAGGCATCTACCTGGGTGACCTTCTCAGTGACATTGTGGGTACGCTCCTTTATCTTGGGTGCTATGATCTCCCGGTCACTTGTGGGTGAGGCCAAGAAGGGGTCACCCTTGAGGTCCACGAAGTTGAGCGTGATCTGGGGAATCTTGCTAATGGTGCGGTAGCGCACGAGGTCCGAGTCTGAGGTGGAGTTGAGCAGGCCGCTGCGCAGGGGGTGCATGGTCCCTGGGGTGGAGAGGCAGAGCGGGGTTAGCAGGGCAGGAAGGGGGAGCCAGGCCACAAGAACATAGATAGGAGGCCAAGTCTTGGCTTGGCCAGGGCTGTGCAGGACAGTGTCCAATGAGGTCAGCTCAGGAAAACCCACAGCCACAGGACGAGCACCAGCCAGAGCCCACCCCATAAAGCAATGCGAGGTGGAGACCACAGGAGTGGGAATCAAGGGTCACTGAACGGGCACGGGGACCTGCCAGAGGGCCAGGTGGTATCAGGAGCCCCAGAACCAACCTGCCCTTCCCAGCTCCACCACCACCCCTGCCTCCAGATGTCCTGGGACAGCCAGCTGCACGGCCAGCAAGAGCTCTGGGAGTGGGGGAGTGTAATGGGCTGAATGGACATTTAATAGAGTAAAAGCCACTTAATGAGATTAAATAAGTGCTTAATGGGATTTCCATCTCCCAGGCACCCAGGACATGGAAGAGAAAGAGAGGAAATGGTGGGCCTTCTCCTAGGACCTGACAGGGCTGATGAGCAGAAGCGTAGGCAGGGCAGGGCAGGGCAGGGCAGGGCAGGGCAGGGCAGGCACACTGGCCCTCACCGGTGCTGGCGTGACGTGGCGGCGGGGGCAGCCCCCCTGCACGCATGGCCTCGATGTCGTCAGCAGATGAGGCGCGGCGCACGCTGGCGCAGCTCTCTCGGGAGCGCGTCCGGGCCAGGCTGCAGCTGGAACCAGAGGCATCGGGATTGAGGCCGTGCGCCCGTGGGGATGGGTGCGGCCCCCGTGCGCTGGCTGGCGGTGAGCTGGGACCCACGAGCGCGCGCCTCTCCTCGGCCGGCCCCATTCCGGCCACGTGGTTGTCCATGGCCGACACTTCATCCAGGGCCAGCGACTCACTGCTGGGTGCCGCGGGAGACAAGTCTACATCCACCACCACCGCTCCCGGGGCGCCTGTGCTGCCCGTGCCACCTGGCCTCACAGATGACTCGCGAGCCGTCAGGGCCAGCAGGGCCGGCAGCTTTAGGCGGAAGGTCTTAGCCCGGCCTGTAGGGAGAGAAAGGCTGTGTGATTCAGAGACCTCCAGCACCCGGGGAGGGGGTAGGGCCTAGTGACTTGAGTCTCGCCAAATGGAATGAGGGGACCTGGAAGGGATGAGGGACCCATCCCACGCACAGCACTCCACTCCCCGAAACCAGGCAATCCTGTCTAAAAGTAGTCAGAGCAGCTGCAGTTCCAGCCCTACTTCTGGGAAGACCCCACAAACCCCGCAATGCACACAGCACTGGGAGAACCATCCTCCTCCTCGCATCACACAGGAAGGCAGCAGGCCTGAGGCCCGGTGGTTCGTGAGGTCCCATGATCAGGGCTGGGCCTCCGCATGCGCAGAGGGGGATGCCACAGCTCGGTCCCACACCTGCCCTGTGGCATTTGGCCTTGTAGGGCCAGGGTCATTAACGCTGCTGTTTTGGAGCTTTAGAAACCAAGAGGTGACTGCTTCTGGCATGACTCTGGGGGAGGAGTTAAAGTTATACCCAAAGAGGCTGTCTGGGGACAGTGGGGGATGTGGGCCTCTGGGTCGACCAGGAGGAAAGAGGCAAGCAGGCCCTGGCATCTTCTCTTCTGTGTGCCAAGGCCACTTGGAGAACTTGGCTCACCCAGAATGAAGGACCAGAGGGCAGAAACTACCATTGCTATAAGCAGGAGCCGCTCCCAGCTAGCAGGGAAGGTCTCCATCCCAGGACTGCTCCAGCAAGGCTGCAGAGAAGACCCCTCCTTCGGCGGTTTCACCGTAGGAGAACCCAGGTGACAAGGCCAAAACTCACAGGCTCGTTCCTGCCCCAGCGACCTGGATTCTGGGCTCTGCTGCTCCACCCTTGTCTGTCCATCTCGGGCCAAGTGGGACCTCCAAGTGTTCTCCCCCTGGCCTCTGATATGGAGGGCACAAGTCTCTCTCTTTCTTCCTCCCTCTCCCTCCCTCCCTTCCTTCCTTCTTCCTTTCCTCCTCTTTCTCTTCATTTCCTGCAGAGCACTGGCCCCACAGAATCAAACTATGTATCTTTAAGCTGGCTCAAGATGTCTGCTAGACCTGCTAAGCTCACCTATAATCCTAGCTACTCAGGAGGCTGAGATCTGAGGATTGCGGTTCAAAGTCAACCTAGGCAAGAAAGTCCCTGAGACTCTTATTTCCAGTTAACCAGCAAAAAGCCAGATACAGAGGCATGGCTCAGGTGGCAAAGTGTCATCCTTAAGTGAAAAAGCTAAACACAAGCATAGGGCTAAATTCAAGCCCCAGTACCAGCACACAGGAAAAAAAAAAAATTGGGGGGAGGGGTTCTGGTTGTGGGGCCTGAACTCTGGGCTCTTCAGCTCAAGGCTAGCGCTCTACCACTTGAGCCACAGCGCCACTGCCGGCTTTTTTCTTTCTGCTTATGTGGTGCTGAGGAATCGAACCCAGGGCCTCATGCATGCAAGGCAAGCGCTCTACCACTGAGCCACCTTCCCAGCCCCCAGAAAAAAATGTTTTAAAGAGTTTTTCCGCTTACTTACCAGGGGCCAGCCAGCTGATAGGGGGCCCCCGGTGATTGGTGTCATGAGCCGGGGACCCCACCATGTCCTTCTCCATCACCACCTCAAAGTTGAGGATGAACATGATGACAGCCCCATCCTCATTCTTCACGGGTACCACATCCACCAGACACAGGAAGCAGCTCCCTGGGGAGGGGGGGAGATACACAGGCCATGATGGAACCCAGGGTTCCCTCCCGCAAGAGACAGAGCAGCGTCCGGCAGGGTGGGCCCCAAACCCAAAGGGAGCCAGCCACTTCTGCTCCCCTCCTCCTCCCCCAGCACCTCCCTCCTCTCTTGCCTCTCCTACCCTGACCCCATACGGCCTCTCTTGCCTCTGGGGCTGACCCCACCCCGCGGGCGCGTGCCAGCCAGCCTGCGCTGCTTCCCTCACTCTGCGTGCGTGGCTCTTCGCTCCCTCGCTGCCTGTCGTACTTCCCTAGCCCACTTTCTTTATGCGCATTATCCCTCACGTCTTTCCCGTCCGTGTTTTCTGCTCGGTCTCCCTATCCTTTCAACATCTCTGTTTTCCCATCACTCAAGGTAGTGTACCCCAGTGGCCACGCCCACAGCCTTCAGCTCCAGGATCTCTGGGCCCAGATCTCAGCTCTGCTGCTTGATGATGACATATGTGTTTTTCTGGGAATGTTCAATGTCCCTGTTAAACAGGGAAGATGAGGCACCTTGTTCTTACCTGGAAAATGATTCTCTCCTCATGAGTTGAAAGACTAAATCGATGGTCACATGCTAAGTGCTCTGGGCAAGGGCTGGCACGCTCTGGCACCACAGACAGCCGGCTACTGCTTGCTGTCTCTGTCTCTGTTCTCTCTAGATTAGTTCCCAGCCATTGTGTCGGTCCACAACAAGATAAGTACAGAGTTGAAAGCAAGAGTTTCAAAATCTCTGTAACAATTTGGCAGTGCCACAGGACCCAAGCATGTGATCTTGCATCTGGTGTGTGACATGGTCGAAATAGAGAAAAGCAATCCTTCACCAAAGAGGCTGAGCACCCTTCATCTCCATCTCCCCTGCTCTTGCTCCCTGCTCTGAATTCTCTCCCTCCTCTTCCCAGGCCACGTCAGCCCACTCCCAAGCTCACTAGAGAGCACATGGGCCAGCTGCAGGAAGTCCTCCCAGATGAGTCAGAAGGGCACAGGGACCTGCTGTTCCTCCTCCTCTGGGGACAGCAGGGACACGGGCATGTCCTCGTCTCCACTGCTCCGTTCACCTGTCTTCTCTGCCTCGTGACCCACACTGCTTCGGTGGGACCAACCCCTGGAATTGACCCTGGGAACCAACGCTGGACCACCAAGTCAGTGGTGGCAGAATGCTATCAGGGAGCAGGTGGTTATGGTTGGAAAAGAGGTGGCAGTGTGTCAGTCAAACTCGGTCCTTATAGGCCCAGCCTCGGCCCTCTGGCTGACCTCTCTACCTCTCAGAGCCTCCTTGAGCTCATCTCCCTTCCCAGTCTCCCTTTGCCCAACCCTACTTCTGGTCTAGGCTGGCAGCAGGGTAATGACGGTGGTGGTGGCTCAGACCATCGCTGGCACTTGGAGCAGGTGCCTGCTGCCTGCAGCCAGGCCGAGGCGCTGGGGGGCGGGGAGGTGCAGTAGAAGGGGAAGCGATGTCAGCTGCCGGCCAGCAGGCCAGCTGGGTCAGGCATGGCTCCCAGGAGCCCCTGGCTGGGTGCAATGCAGACTTGCTGGAGACAGAGCTGAACTGTGGACAAGCGGGATCCTAGTGGGGCCTTTAAACCCAACTCAACAGCATGACCCCGAGGAAGGGCTGGGCCCAGGAGGGGCGGGTCAGAAGCTCTCGCCCCACCCCACGGCCCTTCCACTCACCGCATGCCAGGCCCCCACTGCCCTCCAAGGGCTCCGAGTGCAGGGCTCAGCCTGGGTCTCCCTCCAGCAGCTGCGCTTGTCCCCTGACCTCCGGCCTCTGACACGCAGCTGTGGTGCTGGAGCCGCAGGGGGCTGGGCCCAGCTGGAGACCGTTTGGCACCCAGACAGCCCGCCCAGAGTTTATGCCCTAATATGGTGATGGCCAGCAGCGGCCCGAACAGGAACTGGCCTCCTCAGGACTATGGACAAGGAAACCTCAGACCTGTGGACCCCAGCGGTCCAGGCCCCACACCACAGTCACCGCCTGAACACCTGTCTCAGAGAAGCCTGGAGTCTGGAGCCAAGATGACACCTGTTCCCAACACAGGGCCCCCCCCACCAAGTGTGACCTTGAGTCTGACCACCCCATTCTCACTTCAGGCTACTCAGTGTGAGAAGCCAGCTCTTCACTCTGGAGCCCACCCACCCCGGACCCTGCTTGTCACATTACTGCGCTCTCTCTGGACCCTAGCAGCTCAAAACCACCAAACCCTCACCATGCAGAAACTCCAGGTAGGCCTCTCCCTCCACCACGCAGCACACCAGCCAGCTCCCAGGCCCAGGCCCAGGCCCAGAGACAGACAGACAGACAGACAGACACACACACACACACACACACACACACACACACACACACACACACACACACACACACACACACACACACACACACACTGAGCCCGCATCCCCTCCCTTTGGTGACTCTCAAGGAATTCTTCCTTTCAAATAATCCTATCAAAGACCTGGTTATTCTAAAAATGTGAAGCTCAGCCCTGCTGATAACACAGAGCCAGAACTGGGCATGGAAGGAAAGAAAATTGGGCGCCAGGGGGCTGGGAAGGTGGCTCAGTGGTAGAGCGCTTGCCTTGCAATGCATGAGGCCCTGGGTTCGATTCCCCAGCACCACATAAGCAAAAAAGAAAAAAGCCGGAAGTGGCGCTGTGGCTCAAGTGGTAGAGCGCTAGCCTTGAGCTGAAGAGCTGAGGGACAGCACCCAGGCCCAGAGTTCAGGCCCCACAACCGGACCCAAAAAAAAAAAAAAAAAAGAAAATTGGGCGCCAAACAGGTCCCGGGTTCCCCAGGCACCACCATCTCACTGTCCTCAGCTCCAGTTCTTCAGCACAGCCTGCAGACCGGCTCCCACCCCATCACTGGCTGGAAGGGTGGAGGGTCCCAAGGGCGAGAGGCCAGCCAGGCCAGGGGCACGCCCAGAACTGTTGGAGCTGGGTATTCCCACAGAACAAATAGCAAGCTTCGCGGGAGTTTTGGGGCTTTGCTTCCCAGAGGAGAAGAAATACGAGGACCCACCCCCTGACAGGAGCCTGGGGTGGCTGGGAAAGAGAAAAATCCTGCCAACCACCTGCCCCAGCTCCCAGCCAGCTTGCCCCAGCTCCCAACCACCCAGCGCACCCAGGATGGAGGTGGCCTCAGGAAGGGCCATGAGGCCACGAGTTGGGAGAGGCTGCAGTTCCACTGAGAGCCACTCTGTGGCAGGCATACTCCAGGAGCACTCCGGGAAGGAGGGGGCTGCAGGACAGGCTGGAGGGGGCAGCAGGGAGCCAGAGTCCCAGTCTCACAGGAAAGGGAGCGGGTTGCACCCAGCCAGCCACTCTGTGGTGCACTGTAGTGCGGTCTATGCCACGAGGTGAGCAAGCCAGCAGTGCAGGGCCCACAGGATGATGAACTAATGCATGCAAGGCTCAAAGCCTGGCTCAAGAGAGCATCTTAATGATGGAAAGGTGCCCAGGCCAGCCTGCCACCCCTCCTCCCCCGTGATCTCTGGCCAGGCAGAAGAAACCTCACTCTAAGAGAGGGAAGCTCCACACCCAGCCCAGGCCTGCTCCCGACATGGGATGGAGAAAAGGAACAGGGAGGCAGGCAGACCTTGACAGCTGCTGGCCTCAGACTCCTGACATTAAAGCTTCTGGTTTTAAGGCTGGGTGACGCGGCCCAGCCACTCTCCCGGCAGGCCTTCAGAGGTCATGCTGCTCACTGAAGGTCACTGAGGGGAGGAGGCGGTAGAAAGAAGCCTGGGGTAGAAGCAGACCGGACCCACTTTAGGTGCAGCGTGTATTGCTCTATGAGAAGGCCCCTATTATTAGACCGCGACATTTGGTGCCAACTTTCGCCTAGGGCCTCCTAGCCCATCGAGGGTCACCTTCCTTACCAATTCCCTACCTCTGAGCTCTCCTGGCCAGACAGCAGCTATCCTTGGCTCTAACAATCAGGCCTTATCTGTCATAGCAAACTAGGCAGGAAGAGGCCTGCAAACGACCTGAGCAGCCTTGGGCGGGTTCCTAGGGTCAGTGACTCAGCTGGCTCACCTGTGAGCCAGGTGTCCTCACAGCTTCTTCACTACAGGGTTCAGTGAGCACATCCACCCCGGTGAAGCACTGGAAGAAACCACCAGCACAACAGCTCGGGCACCCACCCCACTGAGGTTAAGTGTTCAAGTGGCGCCCCAGACAGGAGGGAGAGAAGAGAACCAACCGGACAGTAGAGGAGCCCTGGAGTGTAGGCTATTCTTTCCCCGATGATCAAGAGACCCGGATTCCCGGGAGTCCCTACTCTCGTTTGCTCTGTAGCTCTTGGGCAGGTCACCCACCTCAGGGCTTAGACTCTAGGGGTACCACAGGGACAAATGGCTTCTGCCCTGGGTGCCAGATGAAATGACAGATGGCCTTGTGGAAGCATTTAGAACTATAACGAGGCAGGGTGGCGGGTCCCTGCGGGGAAGGTGACCTCACACATCCCCACGCTGGTCGCCTCCTGCCTCACCCTGAGCAGAAGGAGCTGTACCCAGAATGGGCCCAAAGTCACACTGAGGGCAGGAGGCTGGGGCTGCCGTTGGCCCTGTCCGCCCCCAGGCAGAGGCTGTCTCCGGAGCAGCAGCCCAGGGCTGTGCAGTGTCAGGTTATATTTAGCCTGGTGGCGGCGACAGGAAGATGCAGCGGGAGCCGCTCCTGGCCAGGGGCCACCGTGTCACTAACACCACTCTCATGGGCAGCTGCAGGCCTCAGGATAGCCTAGGCTACTGCAGGCTCAGGGGAGAGAGCGAGAGCGAGAGCCACTGAGAGGCCAGCCAGCAAATGTGGGTGTGTGGTGGGTGGATGTAGGTGTGGGGGGAGGGGGGGAAGGAGAGAGGGAGGGAAGGGGGGAGAGAGAGAAAAATCCTATGCTCTTATTCTAGAAACTGAGACCCATGCCAGGCGCCAGTGGCTCACACCTATAATCCTAGCTACTCAGGAGGCTGAGATCTGAGGA